TGAGACCTAAAGCAGCCAATCAGAGGCTTCCCCTAAGATTTCCTAATCTCAGCCAGAGGGGAAAAGTTCCTAGAAGCCTAGAAGGCAATTCAAACCTTGAGGTGAGAAAAGTGAAGAAATGAAATCAGTCATAAAGAGCGATACCTTGGGGTGTCCTGAAAAGCATCCTCTTATTTTCTGCTTTCCCTGTTCTTGTTATAATTTGGTCAAGTGAGCTAATAAAATCACCTTGTTCTTTAAAGATTTCTCTCACGTGCAATCTGAAGAGTCCTATGAAAATCCTTTGATCTTCGTTTGCCTTTTTTTTCTTGTGCATTTTTAAAAGTTTGCTCCAAGGCACGGATTCTTACCTATGGCCCAGTCTCTGAGCTCTCCATCACAAGGCTGTACCGGCTCTGCTGTCTTTTACAGTCACTAAAAACAAATACTACTTGCCCCTGGTGTTACATTCAGAGATATTGTCCAATAGCAGGTGGCTTGGACCTTCATTTAATGAGAACATTTTTTTAGTTTACTGTTTATTATTTTGGTGAACTAGGGTAAACTAGCCTGGATTGATATAGATTCAGCTGACACACTAACCTTGTAATTTACACTCTTCCCCAAACTCCAGACCCATTGCAAAAATAAGTTTCTTATGCCATATTTCCTTCCCAAGAAATATTTTTCCTCAGGGGCTCCATTATCACCATTAAGGCACTGAAAATCTGAGAGATTTTTCTATGTATGTGTTGAACTCCAGTTGCTAACTCGAACTTTTGTTCCCAGAATTTATAAAGACTACTCTTCAACCCCCTAAATAAGCAGACAAGTTGTTACCTTCACCCTCAGAAGTCTAGTTTTTAGACCAACTACACACTATGTTTAATATGCCCAGATGCTCTGTAGTGAGTTATTTCCTCACAGGAATTGAATTCCTCCTATTTACTAGTAAATGTTTTTGAATAATATAAAGCTCTAACAATATGGGAATAGTTAGATTAGCTATAATACATTTATTTGATGGCATATTATGAGTTCATTAAAATGGGTCACAATAGGCCAAAATGAATTTTTGGAGGGGGGGCCAGGGTCAAGGTAGGTAGAGAACAAATATAATTTGAACTTCAAATATGAAGCAGGTACTCTGCTAAGCAATTTCCTAGATATTACCCTACCTATCTCACTTCATCTCTCAGCAGTCATGTGAGGTATATAATAAAATATTAGTTCCGTGTGATAAAGAAAGGGCAAGAGACTCAGAAAACTCAGAGTGAACTCATCAGTAACTCTTCAGGAACTTAGCTTGTCAAGGGCAAAGCTAGGATCCAAGTACACATTTCTCTGATTATAATTTTCTACTTGAACATGTGGGAAAATATACACATTTGAATAAGATTTCTAAGGAACTGGAACAAATGAAATCAGCTGTTGTGCCTTGGTGTTGTCTAGGAAAGGAATTTTCTTAATATTACTATACTAACTCAGGCTACGAAGGGTAGAGGGCTTAAAGTCAGTCAAACCCTGTCATTTTGTTTATTTCCTCAGATGAGTATATCATCTAGAGCTCTCGCCTGAGTAAAAGAAAAGTTAACTTTAAAATAAAGCTACTAGTATTGAGGATGTACCACATTTCACTGACTGTAAGAGGCCCTCAGTTATAAAATACACCATTATTGTATCATTCCTGTAATAGCTAATTTTATGTATGAACTTGACTGGATCATGGGGTACCTAGATATTTGGCTAAATATTGCTTTCTGTGAGGGTGTCTGTGGATGAGATTAGCATTTGAACGGGTGGGCATCATCCAATGATATAGGTGGGCGTCCTCCAATCTACCTAGGGCTGGAATAGAACAAAAGACGGAGGAAGGGAGAATTCTCCCCTTCTGCCTTACTGTTTGAGCTGGAATTTTAGTCTTTTCCTGCCCTCAAAGTGAAACTTACATGACTGACTCTCTTGGTTCTCAGGCCTTTGGACTGGAATGAGACTATCCCATCAGCTTTTTGGGGCCCTAGCCTACAAACAGCTGATTGTGGGGCTTCTTAGCTTCCATAATGTGTGAGCCAATTTCTCATAATAAATTCCCCTCTTACTCTCTCATTCTCAATAAATGATGGGTAGATAGATGGCAGATTAGATAGACTGGTGATAGGTAGATAGATAGACAGGTAGATAGATTGATAGATATAGACAGAGGGTTATAGATCTTTCTGTATCTCCTAATGGTTTTGTTTCAGTAATGACCCTTGACCAATACAACCATTAAGAAAGATAAAATGTCATCAATTAAAGTAAGACAGGAGTTGGCAGATTTTTTCTATAAATGGTGAATATCTTAGACTTTGATGTCTATAAGGTCTCTATTGCAATGACTAAATAATTCTGGTACAAGAAAGCAGCCATAAAAATACATGAACAAATGGGTATGTCTGTGTTCCAATAAAACTTTATTGGTGCTGAAATTTAAATTTCATGAAACTTTCATATGTCATTAAACATTTTTCTTTGTATTTTTTCAACTATTTAAAAATGAAAAAAAAATTTCTAGAACCATACAAAAGCAGGTGGTGGCCTAGATTTGATCTGAAGGACATTATAGTTTCTTATCTCATTAATAACAAGATGCTTCTAGATCTCAGAGATGTTAGAATGTAGAAATTTGTGCATCTTAGACTGAAATGTGATAGCTACTATTGTAGAGTTCTAGGTCTTTGGGACATCCCTGATTTTTAACATTGATAATGTATCTCTATAATGCTTTGCCATTTCGTCTTTGCCAACCAACAGCAATCACTGGTGAGCACAGAGTTTGACCGTTCTCGGAAATGGAGAGACAGATGTGAATGAAGAAAGTCGAGAAGTTTAGCAAAACACAAGGAATACGGGGCAGTGTCTCAGAATCTGAATGTCTGAGGGGATAATAACACATGGCATTGGTATATCATCTTATAGTCTATTAGTATGCATGTGATGCTTTACTGAATTTTTATCATGAATCTATGAGATAGCATGTTAGAAAATAGCTGCAAATAAAAAAAACACAAATTTAAGTGAATTAAAGTTACATATCTAGTTGGAAGTAGACTCTTACCTTGTCTTTTAACTATTCAATTGTTCTTCCTTATGCAAAAAGCACATTTTCAGTGAGTGTTTTTGAGACTGAATTGAAAGCTAAGTGAACACACTTCAATGCACTGGGAAAGAGGTGAGAAAAAGATAAAATTCAGTGCTCCTAGTGCTTGGAATAATCACTACAATGTAAGCAAACTGAAAGAGAGTTTTCTCACTCAAGATCGGGTTATAGGGTCACAGTTTTTCTTTTTCCTTGCAATATTGACTCAAGTAGGCCTCACTACTACTTAGCCAATTTCAGTCAAAGAGATTTTCAGGACACTGTATGTGCATATCTCAGGCAAAATGTAGATGGTTCATAAATTAAATTTAAACATTTTGACAGTTATCTCTGATTTCACTTCCTAGTTCTGTTTTGCTTCTCTTCCTCCTTTAAGCCAAGTAATCTGATATGGTGGAAACAGAAAGGACTTTGGACTTAGAAATTAAATCCCAGATGTGCTGTTTATTAGTTTGTGACTCTCAGCAAATTACTTAACTGAACTCTTTCATCATTCTCATTTTAAAAAGGGAGTAATATTATCAACATTGTAGAAAAGTTATCAATGAGTTAACACATATGAAGCTGATAGAAACATTCCTGATGCATAGTAACATGTATTAGCTATAATTGTAAACATAAAATGTAAACATTAAACATCCAATAAAAAACACCTGGTATGTGACAGACAATTCCTTAATCACCAGAAAAACAAGATCTCTTCTGTATGGATTCTCCAGTTTCTCCTTTTTATCCAGTTCAAAATGTTGCATCTTTCTCTCCCTAAGAAAGAAAACATGATAGATAATGTATCATAAAATATGAAAATGTAATATGATAAATAACACAGTCCTGATCACTCCAGTCACTTTGTTGATTTTTTTCACCCTCTTTCCTCATATTTCTACTAAGAGCTGTGCAGTAGAGAAATTACCCAGCTCGTTTCTACTGTTTATAAAATTAATCAGTGATTTACTTCCCTCCACTCCTATAAAGCCTTTGAAAAAGTATTTTTACTTTTATTAGCCTCCCTCTTAAAGATGGAGTATTTGATTAATTCCTTCCCTCTCACACACACTTTGATGTGTATAAACCCAGAGCATGGTACTCTGCCCCTCATCTTGGACAGTAGTGTTGGATGTTGCTGACATCTTTTTGCTCCTCAAAATACTCTTTTTCCTTGCCTTCCACATCACCTCCATTTTCTCTGGCTCTTGTCCGTGTTTCTCTTGCAGGCTCCTTCTTCTCTATCAAACCATTAAATATTAGATTACCCAAGGTCCCTCCTTTTCTTATCAAAGTTCTTTTTGCAGGTAATGTGTTTTACTCTCACTTATAATATTTCTGTTATTGTCTTTTCTACTCTCCCGTTCATCCAAGTTAAAAAAAAAATTCAACCCAGTCTGTCTCCTTCTAGCCCCTCATTCTAGGTCTTTGCCAATGTTCCCTTTTTACATATTTGATAAATTATCTAACTTCTTACAAAACAAAGTCCATTGAATACTTACAAAATCTGTGTAATTTAGTTCCTACCAACCTCTCCTCTTCCTAGGAATGCTATATTCCAAAGATAGTGTTCTGCTCATTATTCTCAGAAAAGCCTATGAGAATAGAGCATCCTCTTTTCTTTAAGTGAAGACTTGAATTCTTGGGGAGAATTTTAAACAGTCATTACTTAGAATGAGCATTTGACAGACTTTTATGTCAGTAGTATCTATTAAGTGATGAAGTGGTTCTATTCTTTGTCTGGTTTACTCTAAGAAGCGAAAAAGAAAAAGACTGAAAAAACAAAAACAAAAACACCTCTTCTCTTTCACTTAATTATTTGCTATATTAACAACCAATCACCAACCCCCCTGAAATGCACCAATAATAATACTACTTATTTCTCCTATACCTGTAGGTCGGCCGTGGGTTGGCTGAAGTCCACAGAGGACTCTGCACCAAGCTAGGCTTGGCTCATTGTCATAGGCTGGCCTCCGACTGGCTCAGTCTGGGCTTATTTTGGGGCTCAGGCTGAATGAGCAGTAACTACTCAGGGGAAAACTCCCCTCATGGCATTGACTTTAGTGCTGGGAGCTAGCGGAAACTCATAGGCATCTTATATTTGAAGCTTGAAACTGGCTCACTGTTGCGTGAGCCCATATTCTGTGGGCCAAAGCGAGTCACACAGAGGAGGCCACCGTCAAAGGACAGACAAGTGCTTACCCCTTTTGAGTTAGGGACTGTAAAGTTCCACGGCAGAAGGCAGGGCCTCCCGGAAGAGTGAAGACTTGGAGTTGTTGAATCAGTCTACCGGACATGGTCCACAATAACGGGACACCACATTCATCTTCCCTGGAGGACTCACTGTGAGTTTCCCTTTCCCTTTTTCCCTCCCACCTCTGTGTGTATCCTTCAGAGATGCTTTCCATGTGTGAGCAGGCAGACAAGGAACAGATTGGCTTGCCTTCAGCATATGTTCCTGGAAATAGTGCTCAACCAGGTAAGACAGGAAGGGGTAATTGTATGGTCCCAGATACCCAATATCCTCATCCTGCTGCACTCCTGGGATGGGACTCAGATGGAGTGACGGACTTAGATGGGAAGAAAGATGAATTGAGAAGGGGGGTTGAACTACTGAAATGGGCAGGGGTGAGGCTTCCTGAGAAGCAGGTGGACTTTACCTAGCATTTCTGAAGAGGTGTCTACAGGAGCGTGAGGCCAATCTCGATGATAATGAGCTGTAAGGGGAGGCATCTTTTGTCCCCATAGCATCAGACATGTTATTTCACACATAGTTGGCTTTTAATATATGCTAGAATATGAATTAGGATAATATAGATCTCTGATTTACTACAGTTACTCTAAGGATGAATGCAATTTGCTGAAAGTAAATGATGACAATGATGGTCTAATATACATAAATTCTATTTGGTGAACAGATTTTTTAGGAGAAATGCCAATTCAAGAAAACATTTTTTTTGCCATTTGCAAACATAGACTTTACTGAGAGTTTTATAAGTCATTTAACAAGCTATTTTTCATCATTGTCAGTTTTGAAAAATCATACTGGGGTGTGGGGACTGTGGTTTAGGGCAGAGAGAACCTGACTAGGATCCATAAGCCTTCTTTTTCTTTCCGGACCTGCCCCTGACTTTCTGTGTGACCTTGAGTAGGGCGTTGAACCACTCTAAGCATCAATATTTCCATCTGTGAAAAGAGTACTTGGAAACACATGGTTGTCCTAATTTTTAGATTTTAAATAGATTTCACAATTGGTTATTATAAGATAAACTTCTCATGTGAAAGCCAGTTAACTAAGTTTAGACAGAAATGGAGGGGCAGGAATTTTTCTGAGGCAATGGCATATGTTTAACAACTTTATCTTTTAGCTTTTATGATTCACTCTTGGACACAGGCTTTTACGACTCGTAACAGCTTAAATTGGTCCTGCTGGGTAAACGCCTCCTGCAGGTTAAGTTCCTCTTCCCTGAAACACATACCAAACCTTCAGGGTAGTGAGAAGGTCAGATGAAAAAGTAATGCCTGTGAGAGTAGATAGTCACGTAAGATGTACAAGTCACTGGGGAAGGCCTTCCCTATCCAGTACCTTCCCTCTCTGTCCAACCTTGCTGCCTGCTGAGAAATGGAAAACAATATGTCCCTTATGCCATGGAGACAGAAGTGCAGAAAATAAACAGTGACTGGATAAGCAAAGTGGCTTTATTGCAGGGTAAACAAAAAAAAAATTAACAATAGCAAGATGGAGAAAAAACGTTAATGAATAATTAAGCAGAATAATGCAGTCATGATAACAATAAAAATCAGTGAATAATGCAATTTTGTGTGTAATAATGTGACTGTTTATCTTGATGAAGTATCCCCGTTTTGACTATTTCTGGCAGAGGTGTAAGCACAGTGTGGCTTTTCATTTATTTCCCCCAAGAACATGTCTGAGAGTGCTGTAGCTCTCTCCTCTTCCGCTTCCGGAGAATTCTGTCTTCACTCCTTTCCTTTCCGATTATATAAAACGCACACTCACTTTGAGTTTCCTCTGATGTGTCTAGCCTGGGATTAGCACCGACAATGCAACTGAATCCTCTGGAATGTTCCTGTTGTGAGAGAAGGTCCAAGCTGTCAGGTGATTTCATGCCAGTTGGCAATCCCCTGGGTGTGCAGGTACCTCACCATCCCCCTTCCTCTGCAGAAATTTCCTGGTGCAATAAATCTAGGCAACTCATGGAGGAAAAGTAGGGCAGATGATCTAAAATAGAGAGATTGACAAAGTATTAGAAACAGCAACACAGCAACCCCCATGAATAATAGTAAGGCTTATTCATTAGGCTGTTGTCTTCAGTATTTTTTGGAGGAGTTAGTGTACAGTCTCCGACACTGAACCGTTCAGGCTGGGAAATCAGTGCCAAAGAATTACAGCATCTTTGGAGGGTCCAGATTGCTCAACTGGTTAGAAAGTATAAGTAGGTTATCTGATTCTTAAAGAGCAACAAAGGTGGCAGAGTACATGATATCTTTTCCCGGGGCTAACAGTGAGGCATAGATAATCGAGCTGCCAGCAGAGCCCCTTCTGCTCCTCCCTCCAGACAATGTGTGTCACACTGAAACAGAAATAAACAAGAAACTCAGAGACCTCTGAGCATATCAAAGATAAGACTTTGGTATTTTTGTTTCCGACAGATTTTGTGCACTTGAGTATTATTAATCCAACTCACAAGTGCAAATGATTACTAAAAATCAACCTTTGTCTTTGTGTTTCAGTCTGTCCTTATGGGTAAGGAAAGAAAGGGTGTTTTACTCTTGCATAGTAATTCAGAGTTTGGAAGAGGACCTTAAAGTCAAAGGGTCAGTATATATTTAAGTAGACAAAACAAAAATGTATTGGATACACTTCATGTGAAGAATCGTCTAAAAGTACCTCCTGTTTTTGGGGGGAGAATTTAGATTAGTTTGAAATAAATGGGCCATTTTCCAGGAAGACAGGTTTGCATCACATATATACAACTGCATAAAATCAAAGCTTTTGTACAAATCAAATAAATAAATACAATTTATCAAGTCTTAGTATAAGAGCACTGAAGTGAGTGGATATGATGAATAAAGAGGTTTGGAGATGGTTGGGCCTCAGATGAAGTTAACTGCCAACATTATGGAACCTTTTTGGGTTAAAAAACAAATTTATGTGCATTTTCTTTTTCTCCTTCCAACAATCATATGAGTCAGGTCCTATTATCATGCCCATTGTATATATGAAGTGTACATTTGCCTAAAACATGAGAGATTTCTATTCAGAGGGACTTAGGTTTAATCCTGATTTTACCATTTACTAGTTAGCTGACATGTGGCAGTGGTCTCCTCCTAAGTGGGGACAATGATAAATGTCCCATGGGGTGACTGAAAAGGTTCCCTGCTTTTCTTTTGCACCAGTTTCCCAGTTGGTAGTCCCCACCATGCTCCTCCTTCTACACCCACATCACCATTCCCTTGGCTTGTTTTTTTCTGCTTGGACTTTTATAATAGCCCCTTAAGTGGTCTCCTTGCCTCCTGTCTCAGGTCTCTGCATTCAATCTTCGTAACACTGTCAGAGATACAAGATTCCAAAATGGAAATCTTTTATGTTCTTTCCCTGCCTTAAATCTGCTGACAGCTCCCTACTGTCTGCATAAAAAAGTCTAAACTCTTTGGTGTGGATTGCAGGACTCCAACATCCACTTGGACATAATCCCACCTACCGCACTCTAGGCCACTGCCCTTGTATGGTAAACTATGAGCATTTCACAATACCTGTAGTTTCCTGAACATTCTTGCCCTTTCCTGCCTCTGTATGTTTGTGCAGGTTGTGCTCTCTGCCAGGAATGCCTACCTTAATCACTTCTTCTTGGTAAACTACTTCTCCATAAAAATTCAACAATAATCTCCATAGTTCGTTATTAACTGCATGTACCAAACTGTATTATAGTCCATTATTCTTTAACTCTTCTTTCTTTTCAGTTAAGATGAAAAGTTATTTTTATCTGTCATACATGCACAAAGGCTTCAAACCAACTGGTTCTTTAAGACTAAACAAAAAAACAAGTTCCTTGCCTAATTTTTCCCTACCTTCAATTCTCACTTCTCAGAAGCTGCCACTCTTAACTTTTTAAAATTATTTTATTAGTAGTTTCATCTAGTTACCCCCATATTTCTAAATAATACGCTTATGGTACTATTTCTTAGATTGTCAGTTTTAGATCCTAACTTCTTATTCTGAAATTTTCCTACAACTCCCTCCCCTTAGTACCATCCCACCTCCCTTGTTCTTCCCATCCTCAGTACAATCAATATTTAGTGCAAACCAATTTCAGCATTTGCATTCTCATGCCTGTGTTCTTTATGAGTCACAGGCAAACTATATAGTATATACTATGACTATATTTATTTTTCATACAGATTTTTGTTTACCTAGAAACTAATTGAAAATTTCTGTGTACCTACCACTAATTTCTTCCAAATTTCTTTGCTAGGGTGTCATTCAAACCCATCAGGTGAACTTTCATTTTTCCTTTTCTCTGGGAAACATCCTCTGTGGAATCCTCGATCCAGCTGTCCCAACCTGGAGCAGTGTTTTCCCTACGTCGTACACCTCGCCTGTTGTCCTGGGATGTCCCTTCACCTCATAAAAGGAGTGTCCCGAGTCCTTCTTTTTGGGTTGGTCCCCTGTTTGTTGAATCCAAAATCCCCCTTTTTTCTTGGTTTCTTTTACAATAGGTCACTAAGAAAGGATACATGAGAGTTAGATTTTTTGAGACTTTACAGGTTTTAAAATACCATCATTCTACTCTCACACTTATTTCATAGTTGTCCGAGTATAGAATTCTATGTTAGAAATAATTTCCATTCAGAATTTTGAAGGCATTTTGTTTTCCAGTGGTGCATTTGAGAAAACTGATGGCAATCTATAGTTTGTCTGCTGTCTATAATTGTTTCTTGTTGTTTTTTTAAAATTAAACAATTTTTTTAAATGGGGAAGTTTTTAGGATTTTCACTGTATCGCTGATGATCCAAAATGTAACACTGGGCCTTGATATAGTTCATTTCATTTATTGTCTTGGACCTGTGATGAAATCTTTTAAACTGGAAATCCGTATCCTTTAGTTCTGAAAACTTTACTGAATAATTTCTTACATCATTTTTCCGTTCCATTTTGTCTTTTAAGAACTCCTGTTATCTAAATGTTGGACCTCTTTAGTCCTCTATTTTTCTTCTCTTTTCTCTCCTGTTCTCTATCTCTTTCTTTTTTTTCTTCTGTTTATGAAATTTTCTCACATTTATCTTCTAGCAATTCTACCAAATTTTTATTTCTTGTATCATGTAT